GGCCCGCCGCCTGGCCCCGCGGCCCCCGCCGCTCAGCCGCCATGCCGTGGCCTTTCTCGGAATCCATCAAGAAGAGGGCCTGCAGGTACCTGCTGCAGAGGTACCTGGGCCATTTCTTGCAGGAGAAGCTCAGCCTGGAGCAGCTCAGCCTGGATCTCTACCAGGGCACCGGCTCCTTGACGCAGGTCCCTCTGGATAAGTGGGTAAGAGATACAGGTGCTTCACTCCCTCTGCTCCTGCTGCCTGTGAGGGACCAGCTGATTCCCTGCCTCCCGCTGCCACCCACTTTATTTTCAGTACCCAGCCTCCTTTGTGTAAAAAGCTATAGGCATAATTAGCATTTCATTCAAGGAGCTTTTCTCGGATATGCTTACCTAAGAATCTGGGTATTTTGGATATGTTCGTATAGCCACACTTCGGTTTTGTTATTTTCTAATTATATGAAAGAAAGTACAAGTCAAAGAAAAGCAATAGCTGCTGATACTTGAGGGAGAAGGAGCTAGCGTAGCCCAAACTACTAGAAGTTGCTGCTGTAGCTACTGAGGAGCACGTTTGCTGACTACTACTCAAGATGACAAAAACATAGAATCAATCCCTGATCTGTCTATGCATATTCTCCATTTTGGAGGCATCTTGGTTTTTACTGACAGTGTTATGCTGAGCTTAGGCCAAGTAGAGATCTAAAAACTGTCCCCAGGTCTTGCAATGGTGAAACAACTTGTTGAAAAATGGAAAGCTATTTTTAGCTGGAGTTTTCTCAGCAAGTAGGCTTCTGTGCTTTGAACCAACTGAACCGTTTTTCATTTCAGTGTGTATTTTTTTGTGTATTTGTATGTATGTGTGTTCATGTGTCTATACGCACACATGTATGCATGCTTCCAGCCCACTGTAGTATTACAAAAGTCTGTGTCTGTAATATTCTGTAAAGTTTCTTCGGGTAATTGCCAGTTTTGTTGAATTCTGCCTGCCAGTCAAGCCACTGTCATGGGGAGCCTTAGTCATTGACTTCCAGGCTAACTCAGATGATGAACTGGACACACGGGCCTGTTGCTTTACACAGTACTTTCAAAACACATTTTTACTATACTATGTCATGGTATTAGGCCATGCTGGATCCATTTTAAACTGCTTGTGGGTATGTGATGTTTTCAAGTAGTGCTTTTCCTTTTTTTTTTCCTTTTTTTTTTTTTTGTATGCAAATATGTTTGAAAATGGTAGGAGACAGACGCTTGCACAAACATTCATTATTGCCAGTGTTTTATCGTGGGGCTGTTTGTGTGCTTTTCTGGCTGTGCCTGCAGCTTGTTTTCTGTGGCAGGCAGCGAGGCTGTCCCGCTTTAATGGAATTATTATGCCCTCTAGTGGGTATCGCTGCGCTCTTCACTAGTCAGTGACACTAATTAAAACATAAGTTTGAAACTCCAGCAGTTATGCACCAGTACTAAATAGACGGTTAATTACATATATGCAGTGATTAAATGATCATAAAATAATGCTTCGATTGTCTTCCCCATTTGTAGATTAGCATTTTTCTTTTTCACTTGTAAACAACAACACGTTTGAGGTTCTCTGCACGTGACTTTCTCATGTACGGCAGATCACAAAAACAGATGTCACGGAACAGCTACAGCTCTTTTTTCCCCCCTAGTCATTATAAACTTGTTCTGTATGAATCACCGGCGTGACTGTATTATCATTTTTGTGGCTACTTCTGCTCATCTTAACATTGTTATTTTAGCCAACATTGTATGTGGCGATAGATTAGAGAGATACATAGGAATATCTGGAGCTGTTAGTGTAATCTTTTTGCCTCTTGGGATCTGGGCTGTTTAGAAAAATCAAAATGTAAACCATGGTGTTTGGGTTTGACTTTCAATGTACTATGAATAATACTTTCATAACTACTATTACTGTGATTTCCATCTGGAGGCTTTTACTCAATAATGTGGGGACAAGTTTTGATCTGAAGACTCCAGTTTTAAAGTTTCACTTGGAATGCTCTAATTGCCCCTTTCTAGGAACAACTGGCTTGTTTATGGAGTAATTTAGCTATAAGGATACTTGATTTTTTTTCTCTTAGTAAGTTTATGTTCAAAAATACTAAAGAATGTACTAAAATACATTCTTTTTTTTAATTGCCACGTGCATTGGTAGCAAAAAGACATCCGAGGCAGATTTATTCAAAAATATGGTAACTAGCTTACCTCCTGCTATAGCAAATTATCTTGTAAAGGTTCAAATACAGTAAAGGAAACTGTGATATTTCCAAATATAGTTTTCATGCCAAATACTTATTTTTGCCTTAAGCTGTTACATCATCTATGATTCTTATGTTAAAATAAACTTTCGATTTCACAGAATCTTAATTGATTATTCAGTTCTTAAATAATTTCGTAATAGAACTGTCTAAGGCTCTGTTTCTTTAAAGTTGGTGTTTTTCTGCTGCTTGAATGGACTTTGGAACAGAGACTAGAAAAGATGAACACACAAGCAAACAAAATTCTGACTGCAGAGTTATCAAGAGCATGAGCAGAGCAACAAGTTAACATGATGGGAAAGTTTTATCTGAAGACAGAAGAATGAAAAGTGTCATTTTCTGAAAGCATTTTTTCTTAATTTTATTTTGTAGATTATTCCATATAATTGGCATATCATTTTAAATGTAATTAAAATGGAAAGAAACTTTTAAGTCCTCATTTAAAAAAAACCAACTTTTTATGTTGAACAGAGGAAGGGCAAAACCACACCAGCTGATGTTTTTTGGTTTATTGGTTTGGTGTGTGTTTGTTTTGTTGGTTGGTGGTGTGTTTTTTTTTCTTTTTCTTTCCAGTTGAAGATTGTCCTAATATTACAACCACAGTCTGTAGTAGGGGATTTTCTATGTTAGAAAGTTGCACTCACTGGATTTCTTCTGTGATTTACATCTTTTTTTTTTTTTTTTTTTGCATTAATTAAAGCAACCTTGTTCTTGTTCAATGATTTCAGTTTAACTAAATTTTTGGATCGGGGCACAAACAGGGTTTTGCATTTTTCTTAACCAAAATGCAAAGAATATGTTTCTTCTGTATGGATATAATGAAAGCTGTATAGTGCAACAAGTGAGTCTGTTCACTTAAAAGTCCTGAATTAGTTCTTCAGAGCTGATGTTGCATTTTTCTTATCAATTCCACTTACTCTGTATGATCCTGAGGGCAACTTGACTGTAGTTTTGTTTATAATGTCACTATAAAGGACTGGATTAATGCATCAGTGTCTGTAGAATATTGGTCTGTCCACAGAGCTTTGAATTTATTTTTTTTTTAAATTGATGCTGAACATTGAATCCATTACAATATGATTTAGAAATAGCAAATATGTTTTAAAGCAAGAAGTGATTATTTGGTTCCATTGTACCAGTGCCAGAGAGAAATGTAAAACTAACATTACATTGAAAATACATGCTAATCAAATATTCTTGCCACAGAAACTGGGTACTTTTTGTGTTTTTATTGTGAGCCTGTTTTCAGCTTTCTTCAAGTGTTGCCAGTGAAAGAGTAGACTAACTTGTGTCAGTTCCACAGTGTTTATAACCATTAAGAAAGCAGAATCTTTTTGATATAGTGCAAAAATACAGGTTATACAGTTACCACAGACAAATCTATAGTGTTGTCGTTCTGAGTATAGTTCATTTTTTGGAAGCCTCAGTGTGTTTTATTTGTTATATCACATCAATAATTTTGAATATTTTTTTTTTAATTTTATTTTTTCTTTTCTTCTAGTGTCTTAATGAGATCCTTGAGTCTGCAGATGCACCTCTGGAAGTCACAGATGGATTTATCCAATCAATTTCTTTATCTGTTCCATGGGGGTCTTTGCTACAGGATAACTGTGCATTAGAAGTAAAAGGATTAGAGATGGTCTTTAGGCCAAGACCAAGGCTTGGTAGGCTTACTTTTTTTATTTAATTTTTCAAAAAGGAGATTTTTTTTTTTTATAGTTTTTCAGAAGCAAAAGGCTACACTTGTTTTAGTTCTTAGCCTTATTTAAAATGCCATTTAATTTATATAAGTTAATGCTAGAGAATGTAATGAACACCTCACAGTTTCTTATTTTGTCAGCTGGTTGTCAGGTGTTTCTCAATTAGTTGTTGTTCTGTTAAATGACTTCATGTTTATAACATTGCTACTGTTGTATATCTTCTTCCAAACTATTTCAGACAGTTTCAGAAATTAAAATAATGCTGTGTGGAAAGGAGGTTTTGTTAGCTATTTTTTCTGGGTGTTTAAAGCCAAATGCGGTCAGTCAGCGTTGGTAGCTGGTTGCTGGGTGGCAGTAGGTACAACTGTACTGTATGGCTATGAGGTGAGGCTATGGTGAGGAGAAATCTGGCTTTCTTCAGCAGCTTTAGGGTAAAAGATGCATCATCTTCTATATTCAGAGCACTAGTACGGTTTAATTGTGATTGCAGTGTGAAGTTACGACTTCTAAATACGTAGTAGCTTTGATTAGAATGCTGAGGATTGTCTGAGCTTTTCTGGCTTGTCTGTATCCATGTAAATCCAACTGATTTAGTTCAGACTGTCCTGGTGATAAACCCTCAGTGACTCTCAAACCTCCATAAGTTCTTTTAAGGTCTGTTGTTACAGTGTGTGGGGTCATACAGTGTGATTTCAGTCTGTGGAAAAGTTTTAAATGTGCTTTCCTTTTTATAGTGTAGAGAATATAGAAGAGAATATTTCTTTAAATGGATCACAAAAAAGAGAAATACATAAAGCTTATTTTCTATGTTTTGCAAGTTACTTTAACTTGATTTATATACTCTGATTTATATACTCTGCATTTCATTCTTATCTTACTGTCTTACCTTCTGGTGTAAGATTATTGCTGTGAAAGAATTGTAGAGTTAGAAGTAAGCTTTATTTAGTCTCTTGAATCTGTCCAGTTCTTTGATGCACACAACTTTATAATACAGTAGAAGAAAACACACAGTTCTGGTTTTATCACACTTCTGTAGCCACATGGATGTCTCCATACCTAAATGCTAAACTGGAATGTTTTGCCTGTGTAACATGTTTGTATTTGTGCTATTTTACTTCTGTTTGCCTATACTAGAGTGTTATAGTTGAATTTTATAAACTTTTCTAATCTAGTTTTACAGTATTTGCTCAAAATGGGCTTAGTGTTAGCGGATAGGAATGCACTGTCAATGAAGTTCATCTGGCTGATAAAAAATTCATTCAGCTTAATATGTGCTGTGCTCTTTGATTTTATTATGTTCTACTTATTTCATCAAGTCTGTTAGACATTTGAAACATGTTCTGATATGAAAAGATACTATCTTAAATATTGAAAGATGATGTCCTAATATTGCAACCAGAATCTCTAGTAGGGTCTTGTACATATATTAGAAAGGTGCATTTACTGGATTTATGTGATTTAAATTGCTTTATTATACAAAGTATTTAACGTTATTTAGTCTTTCCCCTTCTAACATATATTTCAAGTAGAGCAAGAAACCTTAAACTCATTCTTAAATCAAGAATTTTTTTTTTTTTTTCATTTACCAGTTATGCCTACAAAAATCATACTAATATACTAAAAGTACTTTGAACATAATTCACTTAAACCAGTGCTGAAGATGGGTTACACTAAATCCTGGTTGCATCTTGTTTATATTGTTTGTAAATACCAGTCTTTACCAACGCAATCTAAGTACATTAATGTATTTTTGAAACAGTAAAGTGCATAAAGACAGATTGTAACTAAACTTTTGTTTTTCTTACTAAGCTGTTGAAACTTTTCTGGATGTGCCAAATGTATTATTTCATTTTGTCTTTATTGTTACAAAATGTTTGAATTCATTAAGACTTTTTTTACTCCACAGCATCTGTGTCTGAGCCTATGTATTGGTCAAGTTTTATGACTAGCAGTATGCAGCTTGCAAAAGAGTGTCTTAGCCAAAAATTGACAGATGAACAAGGAGAAGGGTCACAGCCTTTTGAAGGACTTGAGAAATTTGCAGAAACTATTGAAACAGGTATGAATTAATTATTGAGATCTGAATGAACATCTGAGATTAAATCAGTGTATGTTGTGTCTCAGGTTTATAAAATGACATGTCATTTGCCATAACTTGGTTCACAAATTTTTCACTTGTTAGCATTACTTGTCCTGTCTTCCTGTTTAAATTGTACAATTGATCTCATGGTTGAAGTGGGGAAAAACAGTCCATTATTTAGTAAAACATGTGTATACTTCCCTCAGTGGACAGAATGAACCCTACTTCAGGACAAATTGGTGTTTGTTGACACCAGAACGAATCCAAATAAATCATGCTTGAGTGATCAGTGAGATGCCTTGGTTTTGGTGGTGCCAGTTTAATTCACCACACAAACTTAGTAGTGATGTTGTTGAGGGAGAAATGGAGGAGGGCTTTTCAGCTGTTCTTACACAAAGCTGACCTGTTATGACATCTGTGTCTCAATAATCATGTCATATTGTAAACTCTGGTGTTTGTTGTTGGTCTTTTAAGTGGATGACACTAAGGGCTTATGATCATATTATGCACTGGTGAACTTAGTGCCAAAATCTGTGAGCTAAGGGAAATGTTCAAAATCAGATCTAGAAACAAAAGTATTCAGACAAAGTAGTGTGGTGTTAAAGCAGTGCAGGAGTTCAGATACGGTACACAATGAAGCATATATTTTCTTTGAGGATCATTGTGCTGTGACACAGAACAACCTGGTTTGAGTTGTTACTTCCTGAAATCCTTGTGCATTAGAGGGCTGTTGCTTGGCACAGATGCATGTATCGGACATCTACTAGGAGTTTACGTTGTCACTTGAGGTCTTGTTGTGTGATAAAACTCCATTATTTCTGCTGAAGTAAATATTGAGAACATAAAATGAAAGACCATTTTAAATTGGTTGTAAAAGTCATTCTTGAGTAGCTTGACTTACATGGTATCTTTTTGTTTTCTCATCTAAGTTCTAAGAAGAGTGAAAGTTACCTTTTTAGATACTGTTTTGCGAATAGAACATGTGCCAGAAAACTCTAAAAGTGGATCTGCGCTTGAAATCAGAATTGAAAGGTAAAGACTTTTGTCTTTTTTTTTTCGTAAGGCACTTTTTGCCATTTCCTGTGCAATATATTTTACCCATGCACCCACATTCTTGGTATATACTTGAACACTAGCTCTTGAGCACCTCATTTATAACACCACTGAGCACTTTTTCCACTCAACTTCCACTTAACAGGTTTAAGCTAAAGGTATTTAACCATCAAATTAAAAGACTTCCGGTGTTTCCAAAGATGTTAGTGACTGCTTCCCCAATTAGTGTAAGAAATGTGAATGTTTCTTAGACGTTCAACAGTCAATGAATGTTGTTGGCAAATCAGGCCATCTCTTCAATATATAACAGGAACTGACGATTTTGAGTAATGCATTTTAAATATTTTCAGAAAGAAAGACAGTCATAAAAAAAAAAAAAAATTAACTGGAAGAGTTTAGGCCCTTTGTGAGCTTTCAGAAAAGCCCACATGTATTCTGCAATTACTTTTAACTTGAATAATGTTTAACCATGTTTGTGAAGTTGGGGTTTCTTTTGACTTGTGGGATAGTGTAATCATACCTTCCTGAACGATACTGAAATTATTACCAAATAAAGCTGATTCTTACTGAGAAATGCTAATGAAATGTATTTGATCTTGAACATTCAGATTATGTTCAATTCAGGAGAGATGTCAGTAAAACTGTAATTATTTTCGTTATGGAAAGTCAATTCCTAGAACAAACCTCTTTTTCTGTACTTCAAAAACTAAATTAAAACAAACTGTTAAATTGCATGTTTTGATGTTTGATACATTTTATTTATCAAAAGATAGGTGTATTTTTTCCACTGTAAATTCTAGTATGTGGAGACTTTCATCTTTTGAAGAGTTTGCTGTTCGTGCTGTTTCTCAGTATTGTCACGTAAGAAACTTAATTTTACAGAGATTTCATGGGATTGGAGCCTATTCTCCTGATTTTCAACTTCCATTTTGACAGACTTACTTTTAAGTAGTACTTTTAGACAACAGAAAAATATGAGATGGCATATTTTTTAAAAAATACAGATTCTGAAGCAAGAATTGTGTGTGTCCCCTAATGGAAACGGATGTATAGAGGTGTTGGGCAGACTCCTTCATTTGTGGTCAGATTAGACATAAGTACTAGGGTAGTACACTAGGATACATTCACACTGGAAGCATGTCACAGTTGTCCTGTAGAAAATGTAAGTTTTCCACCCATTCCTAGAGAGTGGCAATTTCTCCTTTCATGACTGTCAGTGACATTGTAAGTAGTATGAAGAGAGAGAGCATGTAAGTGGCACAATAAAGGTAACAGTTTGCATGCATCTACCATCATTATTTCCTTTCTTTTGTCTCCCAGAACTATGTACTGTGATGAAACTGCAGATGAGTGCTCTGGAATTAATGTTCATCAACCCACAGCTTTTGCTCACAAGTTACTGCAGCTCTCAGGTGTCTCTTTCTTCTGGGATGAGTTTCCTGCATCAACAAAGTCCTCCCCAGTGTGTTCAGCTACCCAGCTGGTAAAATTAAATACATTATATATGAATTTAAATTGATGCAAGATAGAATATATTGTTACACTAATATATTAGATTAATTTTGAAGGATGTAAGAGTTTAACTTATATTTGCATCTGTTCAATAAGTTTCATAATCACTTCCCATTGATTTTGAGGAGGGAGAACTAAACAGACTTTAGGGCTGAGTAAAATTCAGGATGCATTGTACTGGAATCTGATTGCAACTTCAATGTGTAGAAGTCTTTTCCAGTTCACTATTCTGGGGAAACTTGCTCTTCTTTTTTGCAAAGGCCTAATATTTCACATTTTGCATGCCTTGTTTCTTTGACTGTTATCAATACTTGTTTTCAATGCCATTGTCAAATTTATATTTGTGTAAAGTGATCATTTGTATGATAAGCTTATTTGAAATGCTTGTTTATTTTGTTTTTTCTTTCATTCCTCCCCCCCCAAGAAATAGGATGCATTCTTACTCCTTTTTCTGTAATGTTTTAAGGCAACTGAACCAAAGCTTTCACCTAGCTGGAATCCAAAAATCATTTATGAGCCACATCCGCAACTAACAAGAAATTTGCCAGAAATTACTCCTTCTGACCCTGTGCAGATCAGTAAGCTGATTGGTAGAATGGAGTTAAGCCTGACATTAAAGCAAAATGAAGTACTTCCTGGAGCTAAGGTTAGTCATGGTTTCCTGGTCTTTAACTAAATTAATAGTTATGTAGGATTTTGTTTTTCTACTGCATGCAAAAAATGAGAATCTCAAGGGGACAGAGTCCCCCTAGTTCAGTAGGTCATCTACCAACAGATACGTCTTATTAGACATCTTTACAGTGGCCAGACAGGTCAGTGGCATGCTGAAGTCTGTTAAAGGAGAATTTCTGTGTTAGAGGAACTGAATGTATGTATTTGAGTAACTCCTGAGATGGTTGTTTTGTTTTCATGGAAGTCCTGCTGCTATTAATTTATCCTTTTCTTGAGACACTATGACTGACATCGGCTGCATATTTGTGGAATGTTTAACTGCTTGGTTAAAATGGCTGGTTTTAAAAGGGTGTCATTTACTTCAACAATTACAAGTAAGCTTTTAATAATTAATTAGGTTGCACCATTGCAGCATCATAAAACTAGCATTGTTTCTCATGCAGCATTTGAGCCTTTCTGAACTATGTTTTCACAGAGACACCACCAGCTTTGCTGTTGGTGTCACCTGTGTGCTGAGATGGATCCTTTACAAGGCTGGCTGGAGCAAGCCCTGTCCAGCTTGGGCAGACCCTGCAGTGTACCCTGTTGCCAGCACCTTGCCGCCTACACCTAATACAATGAGTAATGATCATGACTAGAGCAATGTCTGGGAGTATAGGATTCTAGAACTGAAAAATCTATATGAGTCCTTAAAATAACTTTAATTTGAGCTGCTCTCAAAAGATGTGGCTTGCTTTGTTCTATACCACCTCAAACCAATTAAATTTCTCTAAACATCGCAGTCTTTATGGAGGAAGTATGCAAATTTATTCATCTGTATGCTAAAGAGAAGTTCTGAAGAGAATCTTTACAGCTTTTTAAGGCCTCCTTCAGAAGGTGCTGACTTAAGTGTTCTATTTCAGTATGCATTCAGTATTTTTTTTATTATTATTACATAATACTAATTTTATATTGTTGGTTACTCCTGGAATTTTTAAACGAGCAAAAAGCCTAGCAGGTTAATGGTATTCTTGACTTCGTTTTAGGGAATTGTGTAATTATTTTAGAGCTAATTAGTTGTCAGTGACCCACCTGTTTTGTATACTGTCAAGCTACAGATGGGAAGCAATAACTGTTGTTGTGTAGAAGATGAAGATCCTGCTGGAATGTCTGTAACCTCTACAGCATCTAAATTGATTATCAAAATAGTTGATTCCAGACTTTTAAAGAAAAATTCCTTAACTGTTCTTTCTTTTTTTCAGTTGGATGTAGATGGACAAATAGATTCTATACATCTGTTTCTGTCACCGAGGCAAGTGCATCTTCTCTTGGACATGGTAGCAGCTATTGCTGGACCAGGCAAGTGAACATTCCTAAATGTTAAATAACTATTATAGTGGGCAAAAAATAAACTTTGCAAGATAAACAAGTTTCCTTGGTGGAAGAAAAAATTTGTGGTGGTAAATTATTATTGATTTCTGTCTGATATTAGCAAAATGTTTTGTAGCTGCTGTCACTACAAGTATGATCACTTGGTGTATCACTTCAGTTGCAAATTGTACGTGCTGGTAATGAAAATTAGGTAACAAATAAGGCTTATCAGGTGACTATTATAATAGGGCAAGAGATGGGGAAATGATAAGTGGAGAAAATCAGGAGGCCAGTACAGTTTTGGTTCTGGTAGCTTCTGCTTCGTGAGAGGGGCCTGCTTAGTGCCAGGCAGCAAAAACAAAACAGACAGTAATGGAGCTCATTTGTCCATATGTGCTAAGCAATTAACAGCATTGTTTTCAACTACTGCAGTAGCAAGATGAGGGTGTTAGGGTTTGTTCCCTGCCCCCATCTACCTAATGTAACAACAGGTATTATTAGGATAGATCGTTAATCTTCTTTTGGAAGAGATTTGTTATACCCTGGGTAGATGCTTAATATTCTTCTAATGATACTGATAAGTTTGTTGTATGGGACTTACTGGTTTTGGATACCTAGAAAAGGATTACACGTAGTTTCCCATATTTTTCATCTTCAGACCTGAAATTTTAATAATCCATAGTGGAACATATACTTAAGGTTTCTCATATTCAATAGTAAAACCTTAAAGACGTCATGTCCTGAGTCCCTAAAGCTGACTGAGAAATAAATACTGATAATATGTGTGAACACATTTCCATATATCACCTTAAAACATTTTATTCAGCCTTGAAATTAATGAATGTTAGGGAGAGAATAATCTGGTTTAGATAGGTAAAATCTTGAAAAAAAACAAAATGTGCGTATATACACATCTGATGTGTAACAGGTGTGTGTGTATATATATACACAACAACAATTGGTTAATTTTCAGATTAATTTTTGAATTTTATTTGTGATGCTGCTAAGGAAATTGCAGTGGGCATTCTGTCTCTCTTTTTTTTTTTTTTTTATTCAGAGAGCCTAAGCAGGATAGAATTGTCAAATAAAGACAGGAAGAACCGGCCAATGCAACAGGAAGATGAGTATCGGATTCAGATGGAGTTGAAACGGTATTTAAGAAAAGAGTCTTTATCTGCAGGAGCATCCTCTGAACAAAGTTTCTATGAGACAGAGAGTACCAGGACGCCTTCTAGTCGTGGCAAGTATAAAAGATGACACAGCATAGAAAACAACCTGTTGTTAAGATTGTATGAATTGAAACTTCATTTGATACTTATATGAGTAAGATTAAAAATTAAGTTTGACATAGAATAATTGCATGCTATAAATTGTACTGTTGAATTAAAGAAGTGAACACTTGGTTTAGGTATCAAGCTAGACTTTATTATTTCCTTAAAACTGTTCAGTGATTTGAATGTTACTGTGCCACACAGTAAATACACAGGCAGTGTAACATCTTTTCAAACGCACGGTTGAGGAAATTAAATATAGAATAATAGTTGCATTACCCTGATGTTTATAGTTTTATTTTAATGAATTTTATTTTTGCTGGTTATTTATAATGTGAAATTATGAATGTTGACTTGTCACATGGTGAGTGTATGAATTTATAGAAATTATGCCAACTTGATTATGAAAATGGAGCATTTAACCATTTTAGTATTTGTTAGTGTTTTTGCCATTTTTAATAATCACTCTCCATACTGCTAGTCTCAGTCTCAAGAGAGCTTGGAACTTAAGTAAATAAAATATTTAGCTGGTTATTCTGTCTAGCAGATTTCTGAATTTAGGAGTAAGTTTCTATTAAAAGAAAATTTACTTAGTTTCATTCAAAAATAACTCTTTATTCTGGTTCTTACTAGAAGAAGAAGTTTTCTTCTCAATGGCTGAAATGGACATGTCACACAGCCTTTCCTCCCTCCCGCCGCTTGGAGACCCTCCAACCATGGATCTAGACTTATCTTTAACCAGTACATATACAACTACACCAGCAGGATCTCCACTGAGCACTACAGTGGTATAGTATTAACTGCATTTAATATCTTTCTGAAATAAACACTTTTTTTTCTGAAACTGTTGCATAAATTTTCTTTAGCAATATTTCTTGATACTATAATTGCTAGGACAATGAAAAATGTTTAGAGCTGGTAGTTTTCCTTTTCTGCTATGGAAATTGTATTGGAAAGGTTCTCATCTGTTTGGCTATAAAGACAGGAAACTGAATGTGTTTGTTCCCAAGTGTCTTGAAGCTTAAATAGGAGACTTAATGATTTAATTGTCTTTTTTAATAATGGAATGTTTGACATCTGCATTTTCTTTTATATGAACTACACAGACAATGACAGTAAAACAGGCAAAATTTTCTATTATGTTATTCCTCAAACAACATAAAAATTACACTACTTACATTGGCAACTTTCCCAGATTTGTAAGGTGTTTTGCCTAACAGAAGCCATGGAGAATAGTTGTGTTTTATATAAAAAACCAGGAGAATGTATGCTTGTGAAGAGAGCAGCTTTAGCTTTAGAAATATGTGAGTATAGATGATCAAAGAATTAAAAAGTGTAGCCCAAGGTAAAGCGTATTTCCACTGGTCAGTTGAACACTAATATGCTCTAAAGTGGCATGCTGTTGGTTGTTTATGCATATATTTTCTTTGTATTCCTTTATTATTTGTTTGAACTAATGTGTTGTCAAATTTTTGTTACATATTTTTGTTTTAGCTTCAACCAACTTGGGGTGATTTTCTTGATCGCAACAAACAAGAACTACAACCTCCAAGAGGTTCTTCACTTACAGCCAACATCATTCACCAAACTTCCTTAAAAAGGACATGTAAGTAAAAATATTACTTTGCATTCTGTTACCTAAATAATTCTGGAAATGATTTGTTATGCAGCAACTTGGTAAAAAGAAATGAAAATCAAAAGTAAGATGATTTTTAAATGTGTTATTGTTGAAAAATTATGTGAACTTAATTTTGTATTTCAGCTATTCCATCCAGATCTGTTTCTGTGGACGAATCCAGACCTGAGCTTCTTTTTAGACTGGCAGTTGGAACTTTCTCAGTGTCTGTACTTCATATTGACCCCTTACCCCCACCTGAAAGTTCACTGAACCTTAACCCATTGACACCAATGGCTCGGGATTTCTTTACCCGAATAGAAAAGATTGATCCAGTTAAGTTTTCAACAGAAGATTTTCTGTCCTTCCGAGAAGTATTTGCAGAAGCTTGTTCCCATGACCACCTTAGGTATAACTTTGCTTATTAATTAATATATTATCACTTAAATATTTGAATTAGTTTTTGTTAATTTCAAAATAGCCTTGAATTTTGTAATCTGTTCCTTTAATAAAAAAGGTGCATAATCAGCCAAATCAATCTAGTTCTTTTAAACAGTAGATGAGTTAAACCAGGTACAGTTTCTACCACAGAAATCTAGAGAGTCAAGAATCATTAAGTAAATTATTTATTTAGAAACAGCTCTATTCTACGGAACCATTTCTATTCCAGTACAGGGATTTATCCTTGAAGGACCTTTATTTTTTTTTTTTTTTTTTTTTTTTTCAGTTCAGAATAGTATATCAGTAGTGATAAAATCAAGGTGTGAGCAAAATCATAAAATCAATCAATAGTCTCTTTTTACAGAAGTTTTCACTGTCTCAGGACAGTGTATGAGATAAAATTTTTAAGGGTGTATATATATATCTTTTTTTTTTTTTTTTTTACCATATGCATGCAATTTAGATTTCCGGAGGCATTTGACTTTTATTCATCGTCTATATAAGCATGTTAGATTCCCAGCATTATGTTAATTGTCCCTTAGGTTAGATGTCTAAAGTGTTCTTTACAAATTTCTCTAGACTGACCATTGCTGAATGTGTAACATCAGTGAGCTCCATTGTCTTTGTCGTTAAAGCTATAATCTATTACAATTAGACTTTTGATTTTCGAAGAAATTTGGGTGGGTTTATTTTTTTTATTAAGGATTGTAGTGATCCTTTTTTACATATTTGAGTCTTGTTTTTTCAAAATTTTTACATGTTTATGCGATCTCTTGTAACGAGTAATTTTCATGATTCAGATTTATAGGTACTGGCATCAAAGTGTCTTATGAGCAAAGACAGCGCACTGCCTCTCGAAGTTTTAGTACTGATTTATCCATTGGGGATATGGAGTTCCTGGAATGCCTTTTTTCTACTGACTCTCACTCCATTCAGCCTCACTATACAGAGGTATGTGAAAAGTATAGGGAGTTCCATAAAAAAGAAATGTTAATTTTATAGTTGAGAATGTGAGATTTTTAAATGACTGTAATGTTTTCTTTTTAATTTTTTTATTTTAACACATCATAGGTGCAACTTTTAATTGCAAGCTCTAGTGGTGAACAAGATTGTTCTGATATCTGACAGGAATATTGTCAAGTAGCCAAACTTCATTGGTTTACTTCTCCTTTGAATACACTTAACACAGTTTTGGAATTAGAGTAAATGTTCTCTAAAAACTAGCCAATGGAGTTGAGTAATGCAAAGGTTTCTTTAGATGATGATTATTTCAGGTTTAATGGTCAGAGGCATCCAATAAAGTGGCTCCCTAAGTGGATTGAGTAAGTGGTTGTGTTGGGGCTCAGTTTGCTGATTTGAGTGTAGAATTACCTACTGTCTCTTCTAGGTAAAATGTCATAAATACCTTTTCCTGTGACAGCTCTTTCGTCCTAATCATTAAGTATTTTTAACTCTTGTCTTATTCTACAGCTGCTGACATTTCATTCTGAAGAAGGAAATGATTCTCATGCTATGCCATGCCTTCAGCTTCATTATAAGCATTCTGATAGCAGAGGACCTCAGGTAAGGTGGGAGGTTAAAAGCACAAAGCTTCTGTTAATAGAATGATAGAATCATAGAATCATTTAGGTTGGAAGGGACCTCCAAGATCATCAAGTCCAACCACCGAGCCACCAGGGCTCCAAAGTCCTCTGCCAAAACAGATCAGAATCTGTCAGGGTTCAAAGGAACCACAAGGGTCACCCAGTCCCAACCCCTCTGCCATGAGCAGGGACAACTCCCACTAGACCAGGCTGCCCAGAGCCTCATCCAGCCTGGCCTTAAAGACCCCCAGGGATGGGGCCTCAACCACCTCCCTGGGCAACCCATTCCAGGGTCTCACCTTTGTCAAAGGCAATAGCCTTTGTCGAATTTTGTTCATCTTAACAGAGTGATATCCTTCTTGTTAAACAGAGTCCTTAACTCAGTTACTGTAAATGGTTTCACTGTATTCTTTTTAAGGATTTTAGTGCTTTTCCTTTCTTTTCAGGGTAGTCAAGGAAGACTCAGTTCTGTTCCACAGAAAGCAGAGTTACAAATAAAGTTAAGTCCAGTGTTTTGTGAGCTGGATATCAGTATTGTAGACAGATTAAATTCCTTACTTCAACCACAGAAACTAACTACAGTGGAGATGATGGCATCTCACATGTATGCATCTTACAACAAGCACATAAGTCTGGTAAGTTAAAAGTGAAATTGATTAATAAACTTGCTAGTTTTTTTTTCAGGAGGAAGGCAGGATGGCACTAGACCTAAGACGGCTAATTCTGATTGATTTGTGGTGGGTGGGTTTTTTGTTTTGGTGTGGTTTTCCTGCTTGGGCCTTTTTTTAATTTGTTCTTTAGTTCTCATGCAGAACAGCAGCCATCTGACATAGATACTCATTTTGCATTCAGTTATTGCATGCTTGGTTACAGACTTAAAGACAATGGTAACTGCTTCACAAACTGCTTAAGTTCTCAGCTTCTTGAGGCAAGCAGAACTGAGCAAAAAAGAGCAGTCTTGACAGACTTCTAATTCCTAATCTGTCCCATCATGCTCTCCAGCATCTGATTTAATCTATTGCTGACAATTCCACTTCTGTGTTGAAATTTTCAGGTGTCACAGTCAGCCAAGCTGTCTCTGCTGTGCCTTACCCACTTTTGGGGTAGGTAATAGAAAGGATGGGGAACGTACACATTACATCCTAGTGATTGAGGACCAAGAGAAGAAGCTGGAGCTTGTTTGTCTTTGTTTAGGTTGTCAGCAGGATTTAAGTGTTAGTATATGTAGCAAAATCACATTAAACTTGAAGGCTCTTGTTGAAATACATGGGAAAGGATTAATGCAGTTAACTGATTTTCTACACAGCAACATATATCTTCATGTAATTTTACTGCTGCATTGATGGATTACAGAAAAATTAGTCTTCAAAGCTTATTTAAGAGAATCCTCATTTAAAAAAAACTAAGACATCAATAATTTCTATCAACATGGTTATGTTATGGAAGTTTGATTCCTTTCAATGAATGTCAGCAATAAGCTGTGCTCAGGGAAGTTCTGAATGACACAGGAGTGACATGAACTGGAAACCATGATTTACTGAAAGTAGTTCCTGGCTTTCAACAATAGCGTTAAAAAAAAATGTCTGTGAGATGGTATTTCCTAACTGCAGCTGAGTATTTTTTGGTACGCTTTAAGAGAAAAAGAACAATAGTAGCTATTTTTTTTTGAAGGCTACAAACCTCTGCAAATACATAATTTCTGAGTAGAATCTTAGCAACAGCAGTAATAGAAGAGTATCCCAAGAGGAGTAATAATTGGTCCTAATATGTGTGTTTTGTGCGATACGTGAAAAATGTGTTTTTCATTTTTAGCTACTACATCACTAGAAGCTTTCCCCATAGTTATTTTTAGTGCTATTTTCTCTAATTTAGATTCTTTTTCCTTTACTTTGTTCTTTAGCATAAAGCATTTACTGAAGTTTTCCTGGATGATTCGCATACTCCTGCCAACTGCAGAGTTTCAGTTCAGGTCACTGCCCCAGCACTGAACCTCTCTGTGCGCTTCCCAATACCTGACCTGCGGTCAGATCAGGAAAGGGGACCATGGTTTAAGAAATCACTTCAGAAGGAGATTCTTCATCTGGAATTTACAGATTTGGAATTTAAAACTGAGTTTATAGGCGGGTCAACTCCAGAACAAGTTAAATTAGAACTTACCTTCAAAGAGCTAACTGGTAAGAATGCTAACATTGTATTTAAATAATCTTTTTTTTTTTTTTTTTTATTTTCCCAGATATTACATAGTTGAGACTAAGATCCTTTAATGAATTAACACAGGGAGTGTCTTTCTAGCTGAATTTTGAAGTGGATATTTCTACTGTAGTTTAGTGTTCTGTGTTTATAAGTCAAAATAATACCACTAGGAGGAGAGACTAATGTAAATAGGTTTAGTGCTTGCATTCTTGTTTCTGAGATCTGGGTTAGTATTTTTCCTATGTTCTTTTACATTGTGATACCAGTTAGTTTCAATTTAGGGTATCTCTGGGATCTCTATCATGGTGTTAGGGTAAGTTTTGTCTATTTGTAGGGAGATATTACAACTTTGTGAATTAGGACAAGTTTAGTCTAGAAATGAAGTGTATGATGTCCGAAATAAATGTAATTGAGAAAACTTTAGTAGTTCTGGGCCTCTAATATCTTTCAAAGTAGTAAATCTGAGGGACTGGTTTATATTTACAACCTTTGCTGCTGATCTGTCATTCTGTGTATTTTTCAAAGCTGTGACATAACCTGGTAATGCTATAAATGTAATACAGATATCTGCATTAGAAGCTTATTTTTCTAGCTGCGTTTAGCTAAAGATAATGTGAAATAATTATTGCTTCTAAAAATTTATACGTAGTTTTTGGAGGAAAATATCACAAAATTTGCATAAGTACCTTGTCAGTGCTATTACTAAGTTAGCCTATTAGACTCCAACCTGAGGACTGGCCAACCTGAAGTTTGCAGTTTTCATTCCTCTTAACTTTTTTAAACTTTTTCTATCCAGGTTCATTTGAAGAAGTTAATTCAGAAGCACCAATAAAATTTTTTCAAGTGTCTGGTGGCATAGATGGAGATATAACATCATCATCAGACAATTTTGACTGGCCTCGGTAAAATGTTTCAATTTTTTATGTGGATTGGTTAAATTTTTATGAAAAACTGTTAATATTTTTTTAATTTTAATGCAGACTGCCTCTGTTATAAATACTGCAAAACAATTTGCTAAGAAAGAGCATACAGCTATTGAAAAGAACTCAACACTTTATTAAAAAAAACCCAAACCTCTACATTTATAATAATGCAAGGTGGTTTTAATGTATAATGGTTTCTGCATAGGCTTGAGTATATTCCAGTGAAAGTTAGAGGAGTGATTAGAGACTTCAAACTTTCTCCCATGTTTCTGTCACCTTACCTTTTCGCCTACTTTTACATTCTAGACTGAATACCAACGAAACAGCAAAACTCTCAGTCAAATTGTGACAATTATTGCAGCTTATATCACATACAAGGCAATACAGTACCTCAGAGTTACTGGAGAGAAGGACTTAACAGCTGTAGCATATAAAAATGTCTTTAAAGAAGGAGTTTTTGTTTGCTGCAGAATTTGCCACTTTTTTTTTTACCACAAAATTATTGTGGCTTTCTGATGGCATTTTTGTATGGACACTCTATCAGTGTATTTTATAATGGTACAAATAGATTTTTCTGTAACAGGGTGTACATGGAATAACCTAGGTCACGTAGCAGAGCATTTTTTAATAGCTGCCAGTGGTCCAGGCATTATTTTGGGAGAGCACTAGATTTTTCTTAGGTCACCTGATGGAGTAGAAGGAAGTAGACGCAAACCTTTCCGTCCCATTGTTCTTTTTCCATGTCCCTTTGTGTCTTTACAGGTTTGGTGTTTTCCTTAGCGTTGTCACTTTGCTTAATAACATACATTATTGTCTATTAAAAAAAAATCCCTAGTCTTGGAGCTATTTAGTCTGTGTGTATTTTTAATAGTTAGCTAGAAGAGCTAAGGGACGTGGCTGTGCATTAATGTAAGAATTCTAAGCATCTCTAATTGGTTTATTCTGCATAACTTCTCCAATGTCAGGATTGTATTGAAAATAAACCCTCTGGCTGCGCACTCTATTCTGGAGAGGATAGCAGCTGAGGAGGAAGAAGGTGATAATAATTTCCAAGAAGAAGAAGAAGGAGGGTCTCATTCTTTGAAGGATGTCTGTGATATTAGAAGACCAGAGCCTTCTCCTTTTTCTTCTCGTAGGGTCATGTTTGAAAATGAAGAGGTACTATACAATTTTGTTACTATTTTATGTTTATGGTAGACAAAATTAATATGTTCTCATTTTTTTTTTTATATGCATCTTCTGGCTTTCCAGTTTTGTTTTGGCTTTTCTAATTGAGAAGGATATTTTCTTTTGGTTTTTTTTTTTCTTTCAGATGGTGATGCCAGGAGACATAATTGAAATGACCGAGTTTCAAGATAAAACAATTAGCAATTCTCATTATGTACTGGAACTCATGTTACCAAACATACACTTAACATTACCAAACAAAAGCTTTTATGAAAAACTTTACAATAGGCAAGTATGATAATTGTTTTGCTTGGTTATCATGACCTGTACTTGTAGTTCTGTATTCATTGTTGATAGAAGTGGTTGAATGAGCAGCTGTAGCAGGAATTCTAAGAACATAAAATGCTGTATAAATATTCAAGTTAACATCAGAGATGCCACTGTGTCATGTATCTGATCTGGCTGCCAGCTTAGCAAATACTTTGAACAAAGGATGACGTTAAATAGTCTTTCTCTCAGTGAGTACTTTGTTCAGACCTCTGTTTGCAGTGTTTCATTATGCTCTAATCTTTCTGAATTGTCCCTTATACATAGATCATTGTACTTCAGAAACTGTTGCATTCAATTTCATTCTTTCCTCTTTAATTAGTGAGTCTCCATCTAAAAATTCAGAGTCCACAAGGCAGGCAGGGAAAAAAAAAACTGTAACAAAGGGTTATGAAAAAGTAGAGAAAGTGAATCCAACTTACAAATGGGTGTTCAGCTTTTATTTCTTAGTCTTCTATATGGAAACCAAAGAACTACAACTAGATTATATCAATTCAAAAATAGGTGTTGCAGTATGCATTAGCTACATAGGGAGGTGCTAATGTATTTTAGCTTCTCATAGGCAGTACTTAAAAGCATTTTTTCACTTCCAAAGTGGCAAAGCTGAACCTTTCATTGAATATTCTGTTGCTGTACTTCTGTACTTAATATCACATGTATCTTTACCCCAACAGACACAGACTCACTTGAAATCAAAAGAACACTTTATTGCAACTTTGCTTGAAAATTGATGTGATCAAAATAGGGTTTTGTCAAAACCCCTGCTCACCTACTGAGCTGGTATACACCTGCTAATAGAGGCCTTTGTGTCACTGCCAAGAGTTAGATTTTGGTATGTGTACACTGTACTTCCAGAAAAAAGTTTTTTTTTTTTGCTTTTACTCATGAATACATTGTTCTTTGTTCTGCTCTTGAACCTTTTTCTCTTCCTTGTTTATGAAAACTGAAGTCTACAAAGGAAATGTTGCTTGACTAACCTTATGTTAAATGGGAATATAGTTGTATATTTTGTATAATAACAATGCTTTTCTTCCTAGGATCAGCAATGATTTGTTGTTGTGGGAACCCACAGCTCCATCTCCTGTAGAAACATTTGAAAACCTTTCTTATGGTGTTGGACTATCTGTGGCCAGCCAGCTCATCAACACTTTCAGTAAAGACAGCTTCAGTCAATTTAAATCTGCAGTTCATTATGGTAATACACTTAATAAATCATCTGGAACTATAGTGATTCAGAAGCATAATTGGCTGAAGTGATTAAGCTGATAGGAGAAAGAACTTGTAAGCTTGTAAGAAAGGATTTACTTAAACCAAAAAGAAAAAACTATATTACTGTTTAATGAAGTAAAATAAGTGTGAAATTGAATCATATAATTGATGGATAAACAATGAGTTACTGGCATAAAACGTGTCCTATCTAGAGAGTAGTTTCTCATGTATCTGCTAGATGACGAGAGCGGGTCTGAGGAGGAGGCGCTGCAGTACTACTCGGCTGTGGACCCCGGCTGCCGCTCCCGCCGCAGGAGGAAGCTGGACTCGCAGAACAAGAGCGCGCAGAGCTCGCTGTCCGTGCTGCTCAGCGTGGCGCACGGCTTGGTGTCAGTATTCACAGACATAAAGGTGAGACAGTGGGGCTGGAGAAAGTTGTTTGGTGTTTTGACCATGGGATCCCCGTTGTGCTGTGTGTACTGTTTTTGGAAGGAACAAGTGTTTGTAACATATTTGTAACGTTGCAAATGTTCACACTATTGTAGGAGAACTAGGCAGTAATGCGACAGTATTTTAGCAATTCTGTTTGCTTTACGTGAGGATAACTAAAGGCAGGCAGGCAAATATGTTTTGGGACCAAGTGTTAGTTTAGACTGTAACAGCAGCAAACTCTAAAAGCAGTCATTTTACTGTTTCTATTCTTCCTTCAGCAGGATAATGGCAATACACTGGAAGGCAAACATGGCGAATTCTGGTTTGAGTTCAACAATGGTTCACTTTTCAGCGTGACTAAATATGAAGGCTTTGAAGACAGACATTATGTTTGTCTCCATTCTAGCAGCCTCAATTTATATCATCAAGGTAGGGGTGGGGTTGAGGTGGCTTTGGGACTAAATCTGAAATGAGATAAGCTAGAAGTTTTTTAGATTAAATGCTGTACCTTACCTCCCTCCCCTGCCCCTGATAGTGTTATTGTTTGACACAATGGATTTAGTTCATGGCTAATGCTTCTAAATGCTGCAGTAATGCAACTTCATGATAACTGTATTTACTTCATTGCAGTTTAGCTCAAACTTTCCTTGGCAAATGCTGGTCTTTAAAGATATTGTTGTCCTCTGCCAAATTAGGTGTACAGTCTGTTCTTTACTGTGAGAATACACACTTCCTACATGGTACTTGTTATTTAATTAAAAATGGTACAGGTTACTAGTGGCTGCTGTTTCTTTCCTGGGTAGCCATTTGTAGTTAGCAAGTGAAGAATTTTAAGTTGACAATGTAGTTTGTATGTGTGGTAATCCCCATGTACGTAAAACTCTTAAGGTTTTCCCCTCAAATGTTTCTGAATCGGTGGTAGCCAAGTTAATGGATTTTCAGCACAAGGCTTAATTATTGTGTGTTTAGAGGCTAACGTGGCACCATCTCATAAAATCAAAAGGAGGGACATATTCCTGTCTTTCCGTGTAACTCATAGGTGATTTATGTCCTTTATTTCAACTTTGCCATTTTGTTGGGCAAATAAAAAAACAAGCCATATAGTCACATTGAAGATTCTAGCGAGAACCATGGTTTCAAAAAATCAATCACCTGTAAACTCCGCTTCACAATTTTTGTTTGTCAGTGTGCATGACTAACTTCTGTAATTAAAATAATTTGAAGGTATTGAGCTTAAAAAGGATTTTCTTTAACTCTTAATCAGTAACAGCTTTGAAGCACAAGGTAACTAATTCTAGAATCTCTTTGCAGGTATGGTAGATGGGGCTGTCCCCTCTTCTGAAGTACGACTGCCCAGCACAATACGTCCCCATTGGTTAGAACCTACTATTTGTGTTTCTGAAGAAGATAGTCTTAGTAGGACCACCTCAGATGGTGAAGGAGTGGATTGTCCAAGTATGCTGACCGTTGCAGTCAAAATCCAATCAGATAAAATAGAGAGCAATACAAAGGTTTGTGGTTTTAATTTTGTGCTTTTCTAAATTACTTGAGTTATTTCAGTTTATATGGAAGCCTCTAGATGTGGGGTTACAAAGGTTATAAATGAAGAAACTATAATTCTGTTTATCTTCAAACTGTAGGTTTCTATTAGAATCTTCTGACTGGATTGTAAAATTTAAGTATCAGCATAACTTACTAATTCTTCCAGTGCTTCACTTTGCTGATCACATCACATTTCTCTACTGAACGCATTTCTTCACCAGTTGACCTTTTTTTTTTTTTTTTGGTTGTTGTTGTTTTTCTTTGAGTTTTAATTTGGTGCCAAACCAGACAAGGATGAATATAAAGAGTTAAATCTTTTTGCTTGGTGTACTAGCAGTGTCATATAATGGGCAGCCTCTGCTTACTTATTTGGAGTCACTCTGGTAAAGGAGTGGCATGTTCAGCTTCGATTAGCATTCATTAGCATGGCTGAAAGATGACCTCTTAGCTGGCATAGTGGTGACAAACAGGTTGGTAGAGTTAGTTGGAGAAGAAGGAATCTGCAGACCAGCACGTTGTCATGGGAGATCAACTGACTCAGATTTGAACAGCATAAGAAAGACTTACATTGGTTCAGTTCTCTAGGTAATTCCTAGTGAATCCTGGGATGAATGAACAAGTAGCCTTCTGTCCTATCACCACGACAAAATTGTCATTTCTAAACTATCCTGATGGAAAAAGTATTAGACTATATTAGCCAGAGTATGTTTTAGGAAGCACGTTTTTTTGAATGATTAATCCTGGCCCAGTCCTTTCTTCATTTTGAACACTTGGAGATTTGGGAGGATGACTGTTCCATAATCTAGATGTCAAATAGTTACATGTATTTAATGTAAATAACTCACAACATTCTCATGCAGGAATTCCTAGTTGCTGTTGGACTGAAAGGAGCCACCCTTCAGCACAGAGTACTGCCTTCAGGTTTAAGCTGGCATGAACAGGTCAGGTTGCTACAGTTTTCTCAACTACAACTTCAGTTGCAGTCTTATTGCTTAACACCTGCTTTAAGTATCAGGCTAAACCGTAATGGAAAACCTTTGCTGTCTCTTACTGTGTTACTCTGCTGTTGAAAGTGTTACTCTTTACTTTCTTTCTTGTCTCTCTTTGAGACCACTGACAGACTGCAGTCTCGCTCTTAAATTCTTACTTGTGTATTCAATTGCTACAGTTCCTCTCATCATCCTAAATTTCTGTCCACAAAAAGTCAGGGAGGTTCTGAGGGGTTTTAGGTCTTTTATTATTTAAAAAGAAAAAAAAAAATCATACGGAAAAGTCTTAGTAGTCTAGTGCTTTCCAGGTATATAGGTAAACCTCCAGGTAAGAATCCACACTCAAAACAAACAAACATGGTTAGTTGTAACACTGAAAAAGCATTTCTGTGTTGTTTTGGTTTTTTTTCCCTCTGCTCTCTTCATCCCTTAAGTCCTGTTTTTCCTTTTTCTGCTTCCTCTTTTCCATTGTTTCAGTAGCAGTAGTGGAGAAGGTGACTTTGGGGAAGTAGGAAGCAGCAGTTCACATAAACGCTTGTCATGCAGACTGTGGAATTGGCAGGGTTGTGCTAATGTGGGTGAATGCAGGGGTGTAGCATAGCAGACAGGGCTGGAGGCCTTTGGCCAGGAAGCTATGTGTAAACATTTAGGAGCTAGGACAGTAGCAGTATAGTTGGATGTACTTGTGTGCACTTACACCATACTGGATTACAGATAGTCAGCCCTGCCATTTGAGCTAATCTTCCAGTGTGTACAGTATGCTTGGATTTACATGCATTCTTATTGTGTAACTGCATGGAGCTGAACTTGGTGCTTTGAGCTTTGCTGTGTCATTACCTCCTCCTCAGCACGGTATTCCTGTGTGTTTGTGTGCCCTGCTTTATACTGTCTTGCTTAACATTGCCTATGATGCACTTGGGAATCTTTCTTGAAGGGACAGGAAGGAAATAAAAATCTGGCCAAAGAGATTAGGTAGAGGAAACAATTAAGAGGCTAGCAGTGTTAGTACATCCAGGCCTGGAATAGTTTAGAAACAACTTCTATAGTGTAGCAGATTTGTGAGAGGACTACGACAGGTTTTAACAAGGAAGATAGGAATTTATTTTACACAGGCATAACTTAAAAAGCAGCATATACCATGCATGTGCAGATGTTTCTGGTTCTGGGCCTATTCTGCCCCACCTCCAAAAGATAATTTGAAGATAACTTTAACAGTGTACTGTATTACAAGAAAAGTTAGCTTTTCAGATAAAGAGAACAAAGAAAAAAATACTAACACTATAATAACAACTGCAAAGGAAGATGAGACTGTATTTGGGAAGTGCTCTAGATATGGATTATGAAGCGTTGTACAAGGAGCCACTTGGGCATCTGTGGATTGGTCTTTTTCATGCCTTTGAGGTTGCAGTTTGGATGTTGTGGTGTTTTCCCTGTTTATATTCCATGCTTTTCTGTATTAAGATACTGAGTATATACGTGTAAATATGGGAGATTGTTCATTCCATTTCCCTTCTATTAACCAAACATTTCATTATAATACCTGTTACAGATTTTCTTTTTAATAATGCATAATTGTTTATGAATTTAAGAGATATTGAAGTGTTACAATAATGTTTCTGATTTTTTAGATTTTATATTTTTTGAATATTTCTGATGAGCCTGTTCTGGGATATAATCCTCCAGCTACAATTACAACTTTTCATGTACATCTGTGGAGTTGTGCTCTTGATTACAGGTAAATAAAATGCAAGTGTATTTCACTTGGTGACACTGCAACTCTATATTTATTCTTTAGGAAGGTTCAAGTTTGCATATTGTAAAGAATATTTAGTCTTCTTTTGAAAAAGTATTTAACAGAAATCTCTTAAAATCTAAGCAGTTTAGACAAGGATAAGGACTTGTCTAGGCCTGGGAGGACAGAGTTAGGTAACGTATAAGTCTTTGATTGCACTTCTAAAGAGGTACAGAGCATTAATTTTTTTTTTTTCCTATTTGTTGTTAGGCCCTTGTTTTTGCCAGTCAGATCTCTACTTACTGTTGAAACATTCAGCATTTCCAGCAGTGTTGCAGTAGATAAATCTTCTTCTACTCTCAGGTACTGTGAAGTGATTCTGAAACATGGAAACCCCTGTGAAACTTGTAATGCCTGTTTGCTTTTTTGACCTAGGAATTGTTTGTGTTGTGTAACTGATCATGCTGGTTTGCATCTTTTGCAGTATACTTTGCTCATGTGTAATCCTTCTATTAGTTTAAATACTTTTATTTTTTTCAGTTGGATTGAGTTGTGTAACAGGTAGAAATTCTGCAGTTTTTTATGATTGAAAGAGGTCCCGAAATTAAATTGTGTTGTTGATTAGTAGAAGTTTAAGATTCCTTGAAGACTTGTTATTTGGAGGCACTGTATTAATTAAGGACATATTACATTTCTGTAACTTTTAAATAATTTTTCTTACAACTTCAGTTGAATATTCATTCTGTTTATACCTGTTTAGATGTAAACATCTGCCAGGTTGCTTGTTTCTGTTGGTAAAACCTTGTTTGTTTCAAAGGTACTTTACCTCTGTTACTTTATTAAGAATTTAAAAAGGCAAAAAGGGAAGTAAGACTTAATTCTGTATGCCAAAAGCATTATTTTTATTCTAGGAAGGAGCAAATACATGAATCAAAATGCAGGTAAAATCAGATCAGTAATGATGAAAATACCTTGCAGTGGTTAATTACCAATGGATTTGGAAATTACGGAAGGTTAAAGTGAAGAGTTTGGATTTAAGATATGCTTGATATTTTTGTTTCTAAGTATCTTTTTCTGTAGTAATTTTAAATTGCACAACATTTCTATAGTATGTCTGTGTGTTTTGGTTTTTTTTTTATCTTTTAGGATAATTTTAGATGAAGCTGCTTTGCATCTGTCTGACAAGTGCAACACTGTTGCGGTGAACCTCCATAGAGGTGAGGATGTTTTAGATGCAACTAGTGAAATGCAGAGTCTCAGGGAACAAAATCACAGACACGCTCAGCATATATAAAGGTTTTTGAAGAAGAGATCTGAGGACATCAGGAGCAGCAAGTTTAATATGAATGAATAATGCAGTGTAAATGAAAAGTTTGGATTTGGGGGTGAGGAATGCCAGAGAACAGCAACTTGAGAGTCCTTTAATTTTCTTGCTACAGCTCCATAATGGGTATTTGAAAAAAGCATATTTAAAAAAATACGGAGTTGTTACAGAAAGAAATCTTCATAGAAAAGAGACCTCATTTATGAGATACATATTCTAAACTGTTCATCTTGGAAAGAGTTATGTGGCACAGAATTGTAGGTTCTGAGAAGAATGATACCAACTGGTTTACTCTCATTTGTACAGTAACAACCTTCAAGGACTTAGCAACTTGAATCAATATTTAACAAATTAATTGGAGAAATAATGAAACCCTGTGCCCACAAATGTGTGTTTAACTGAGGTAAGAGATCCCTAGTGAAAGACAGAATAAGGGTATTCCTGTTTTGCTTAAAGGAGGAAGAGGGGAAATAAATTTTTTATGGTACTGAAAGTTTTGTACAATGTGAAAACGTCTTCTCCCTCACTTCAACACAAAAACTGCTAGCATGCTTAGTCACCCAGCTTCTGTGTGCCTCTAGTTTTCTAACTCACACAGATGGGATGACAATAAATAACTTAAAAGATTACAGAGCTCGCAGATGGTATCAGTGGGAGTGATATATTGGATTGAAAAGATTTAAGTTCTTGATATGACTAGCTGAAACTTGAACTCTTTCTAATGGTTTAATAACCAAAAATACATAGTAATGGTGATGTTTGTTATTAAGTCTTTATTTATTTTTTTAATGACTCATTCTCTTTCAGATTATGTTCGTGTTATGGATATGGGACTATTGGAATTAACCATTACAGCAGTAAAATCTGATTCTGATGGGGAAAG